ATCTACATGGAACAACATAGATCAATCTCACAACCAATGCTGAGAGGGGGAAAAAGCTAGACACAAAAGGTACATATTGCATGATTCATTTCAATAAAGTACAAAAATAGGCAGCCTGTGCTAATAGAAATAAGGGAAATGGTTACACTTGGGGCAGCAGGTAATGACAGGAGTGTGAGCTTGAAGTATTGGTAATGTTCTGTTTCTTGAAAAGAGAGCTGGTTACATGAGTGTGGTAGTTTAAAAACATGTCCACAGATCCTTAGACACTTCTCCCATCAGAAGGTGAAGTCAAATTCCTTCCCCTTGCTGAAACCGGTTTGACTCAGTGGATAGAGCGTTGGCCTACAGATTGAAAGGTCCCAGGTTCAATTCTGCTCAAGGGCATGTACCTTGGTTGCGGGTACATCCCCAGTAGCGGGTGTGCAAGAGGCAGCTGATCAATGATTCTCTCTCATCGATGTTTCTAGCTCTCTATCCCTCTCTCTTCCTCTCTGTAAAAAATCAATAAAAATATATTTAAAAAAAATAAAAATAAATAAAAATATATATTTAAAAAAAATAAATTCAAGCCTTGGCCAGCTAGCTTAGTTGTGTAGAGTATCATCCTGATATGCCAATGTTGAGGATTTGATACCATGTCAGAGCTCATATAAGAATCAACCAATGAATGCATAAATAAGTGGAACAACAAATTGATTCTCTCTCTCTTCTCTCTTCTCTCTTCTCTCTTCTCTCTTCTCTCTTCTCTCTCACTCTCTCTCTCTCTCTTTTTTCTTTCTCACCAATAAATTTTTTTAAATTTTAAATTGTGGCTATGGTAAATTTTTAAAAAATTAACTCAAAATATATCATAGACCTAAATATACAGCCTAAATAAGAAAAATTCTAGAAGAACACAGGTAAAGGTCTTTGTGAGCCTAGAGTAGGTAAAGATTTCTTAGAAATTATACTAAAAGCACAACCATTAAAAAAATAGTTTGAACTTTATTAAAATTTAAAACTTATGTTCTTAAAAAATGTACTGTTAAGAGAATGGTGTTGGGGGAAGCCACATACTGGAAGAAAATCTTTGTAAAGCCTATATCTGATAAAGAACTTGTTTCCAGAAATATATATAGAACTCTGAAAGCAAACAACCCAGCTTTTTTTTTTATCCTTATCCTAGGACATGCTTAGAGAGAGGAAGGGAGGGAGGGAGGAAAGTAGGAAGGGAGAGAAAGAAACAAACATTGATTAGTTGCCTTATGTATGTGCCTCAACCAGGGATCGAACCCACAACTCAGGTATGTGCCCTGACTGGGTATGAAACCAGCAGCCCTTTGGTACACAGGTAGATACTCAACCAGCTGAGCCACTCTGGCCAGGCACAACCCAATTTTTTTAATGGAACAAAGATCTGAACAGATACATCACCAAAAAAAGATATACAGATGGCAAATAAGCTCATAAAATAATGCTCAACTTCATTAATCACTAGGAAAACTCAATCCACAAGATATGACTATATACCTATTAGAACAGCTTAAATTAAAAATGATTGACATACCAAGTGCTGGTGAGGTTATGGAGGAAATGAAACTTGAATACCCTCCTAATGGGAATGTAAAATAGTACAACCACTCTGGAAAACAATTCAGCAGTTTCTTACAAAGTTAAACATACATCTTCCATGAGATCTAATCATTCCACCTCTAGATTTTTACCCCAGAAAAAAATAGAAATAAACAGGGTTGGCCAAAGTAGGCTTACAGTTGCATTGTAATATTCCAATAAAGCTACTCCAATAATCATAACCTGCATTTTTTTTTACATATAAACAACTGTAACTCTATTTTTGCTCATTCCTGTATGTCCATATAAACAGTTGTATACACTGTTCATAGTAGCTTTATTGGTAACAGCCCAAAAGTAGATGCAATACAAATGTCCATCATCAGGTAAGTGAATAAATAAATTACAGTACATCCACATAATAATGTAGCAAAAAAACTAAAAGGAATGAACTATTGATACACAGAACAACGTGGATAAATGTCAAGATAATGATGCTAAGTATAAGAAACCAGACACCACCCCCTAAAAAAAAATACATACTGTCTGATTCTACTTATATAAAACTTTAGAAAATGCAAATGAAGCTATCATGATAGAAAATGGATCAGTTGATGCTTAGGTGTGGAGGCAAAGAGGGATAGGGGAAAAGTTTAAAGGGAATGAGAAAACTTGAGGATGATGGATCTATTCACATGATGGTTTCAAGAGAGTATACATATGTCAAAACTTATCAAATTATATACTTTAAGTATGTTCTATATATTTGTCAATTATACCTGGATAAAGTTGTCTTTTAAAAAACTGCAACTCAGGTATCAGACTTTAAGGGGAGCAGAAAAGAAGCAGAATGAAAATCTGGGTTAAAGGCTTCAGTGAGGTTTGTGAGTTATCCAAGTATGCAAGGAATTCATGATTTCCCTCCCTAGCCAACCTTCAGTCCAATTTAATGGGCCTTGCTATATCTCATATTCTCCAGAAATGGTAACAACCACCATTATTGGATCTGTTTACTGGAAGAGAATGACCCAAAAAGTATAAAATGAATTCCATGTCTCATGAGAGATTGTCAATTAAACATATAATCCAACTTATAAACATTTTAAATAAATTTTTACTTGCAGAATGGTTTTAATATTGAGAGTGAACTTTTTTGCACGTGAATTCCAATACACACTAGTTATTTAATGAGCCTAAGTTTCCTCATTTGTGAAATACCATAATAAGAAAAGGCAGAAAAGAGCAGACTTTGACACAATTATTAATTCCTTTGGTTGAGGCAGAGCCATCTTTCTTCCCCTTCTGCTCTGAGAGATATCCATTTATTCCCACCTCCACCAGCAGTAATTAACTTCATAAGTCAAGCTTCTCTCCCAGCCTTCATCCTTCCATCACAAGACTCCTTGAGAGAGGTCTGAGGTCCACAGTCTGGCTGACCATCACATTGGTCAAGATGGCATTCCTCTTCCACTGTGACTAAGGACCACAATGATGTGCTGGGCTGACAATGAGCTCTCTGAATTGTGTGTTCTAACCATTGCACTTCACTTTCCAGACAATCATCTGTTGAATGACTAGATAGGGAAAATCTCAACATTATCCCATTTCTAATTGTAGGTGGAGTAGTTTTCCAAGGTGGACTGTGCTCTACAGAAGCAAAGCCATGTGGGCTTTGACTCTTAAAGAAGAATACAAGAACCAAGACCTACTGAACAGCTATTATGGTTGAGCCCACAGACTACAGCATTAAGCAACTCGAGGTTAAATTTTTGGCTGTCACTTCGTGTGTAGAGTCTTATCATACCCAAACCAAAACATTTTCATCAGGAATTAAAGCTATCTAATTTATTTAGATGGTGTTAACTTCTATTATAAATTACAGCATTTTGACCGAGCATTACCTTCAACACTGCAGACAGCATTTAATACACTAATTCAAAATTTTCCTAAACTTATATAAAAAAAAAACTTGAATAATTAAAAACAAACTGAGAAAACAAAGCTTTCCCCCTCCAAATTAAGAATTTGAGAAGGCAAGATCTAGCTAGAATCAAACAAATCAAGGAAGGTCCAAAAATGGTACAGACCTCAAAAAGCCTAAGGGGCTTGGCACTCAGCTCCACCTCCGTGCAAACCCCGCCCACTTGGACAGCTCCACTTTTCCTCCGACACTGGGACCACGCCCCGCTCTACGAGGTCCCGCCCCCCGCACCTGATCTTCGCTCCCATTGGGTAAAGCTGAATGCGGTGTACACCCCCGACACACGAACATCTGACGGGGGCGTCTCTGCGCCTGCGCAGTCGCACCGCCGGGCGTCTGGGAACTGGGGGCTGGGGGAAGGGAGGCGGAGGTCAGGCCGAATCTTCCTCCGTAATAAGCAACGCGGCCCGCGGTCCTGGCTCGGTGGATCCCGTCGGGTCGGGCCTGGGCGCCGGAGCTGCCGTGGCTCCCGCCGCGGCGGGTGCGATGGGGGCCGTGCCGGAGCCCACCGCTCTCGCCGCGGGCGGCCGAGGCAGCCGGCGGTTCTAGTCCATGCGGCGGCGGCGGCAGCGGCGGCAGCCCGGGCTCTCCATGAGCGAGCGGCGGCGGCGACGGGTGCGGTGGCACCGGCGGTTTTCGGTCCCCGAGGAGGTACGAGGACTCGGCTTCCTGGCGGACGGAGGCTGTCGCGGGTGGAAGCCTCCAGCCCGCTGCCAGCCGCCCCGGGCGCCCTGCGGGCCGCCGCCGGGCCGCGGACCCTGGCGCCCAGCCTTTCCCGGCGGCTTCTGTCCGGGGACCCGCCCGCATTGCGGAGCCGGTGCCGGCGCCGGGCCTCCAGGGGCGGCGGGCGGGCGGGGGCCGGGCCGGGGCGGGGTGGGCGCGGCCGGGCCGAGCTGGGCCCCGCGCTCCCCTCCCCGAGCCCGCGGCGGGGCGCGCGGCTGTTTTCACATTGTTTCAGAGCGCGGCTTCCAGGCGGGACCTGCAGGACTCCGAGCTTTTAGGGAGTGCGGCCTGCAGTTCCTTAGGGAAATGGTCTGGTTTCCACACCAGTGTGGAGTACAGATTGTCACTCTTGGAAATGACCGCAAAAAAAAAGGCGGTGCTGTGCCAAGGAAATCCCGTAAGAGATCTGAGCAGTTCAGCATGTTTGTTCAAACTGGAGGGCCTGTTGAGGCAGGAAAATAAAGACAGCAGGGTAACTCCTCCAGGGTTTCTAGCACAATGCCTAAGGAACAATCTTAGGTGTGGCGAAAACAAGTCAGGGCTTTGCAGGCGTTTCTTCATCTTTTTAAGTAATTTTTAGTTCCTTGGGACACATCACACAATAGTGTTGATACTAGAGTAAGTGCCGTCTTGTTCCTCCAGTCCTCTCTACCCCCTCTTTTTTTTTTTTCCCTGAAAAAGGCTAAAGAAGTTTCATTGTGTGTGTGTGTGTGTGTGTGTGTGTGTGTGTGTATATATATATATATAATTGTAGTGTAATCCTCTTAAGTATAAATGTTGCTTTGTAGAGCTGTAGTTAGTTACTCTTCATTTGGTCATACCCAAAAGATAATTTGGAAAATAGTACTAGAGATTTACCATTCCTTTTCAGTGTGGTATGTAGGAGTGTGAACTCAAGCTCTTGATCCTATGACTTTGCTACAAAGTTCTTTAAAATTCAACAGAAATAAATCAAACCATGAAATTTATTTTCATTTTTAAAGTATTTGAATGCCTTATGATTTTTTTTTCAAATCTGTTCTGGATATGTTAGTTCTTAAGAAGAAGAAACTGAGTTTGTGTTTTCCTAGGTTCCAGGTTTACCACACCCTCTTATTCCTAATTGGTTGACTAGAGCCAACCTGTTACTGACTATATATAAACATCTACATTTCAGACTAAATATAGTATTGAATACTTTAGAGTGGAGGATATCTTTTTTCAAGCCAAAAATACCGTGTGTTTATATATCATAACTGAAAATTTTAGTCTAATACTGTTGTAAAATCAACTTCAGCTAAATTTTTCGCACAAATAAGATATACAGGCCCAAAGTATTGAGTGTTGAATTCATGTTATGCTTGGGAGGGTGTGGCACTTGAAAAAAATGGTCAAAATAAGACACTGACCGCAGTCACTCACTTCTCTTTTCCTATTCCCAAATGATTCCTTTTTTTCACGAAAAATATACTTTTCCATGAAAGTAATATATTAGAAAGTACTATGATGTTTTTAGATGACATTTTTATCCCAAATAAAGCAGTTTTATATTGTTTTATTAAGACATTGTTCTTTAATTTTTTAAAAAATTTTGTCCTGCATACCATATATATGACATGACCATTTTTGTTAGAATAGTCAGTGACTTTAAAAACAGAATACTTAGAGCTACCCTCAAAGTTGGGGGAAGGATATGTACCAATTCAAACAGAGAGGACACCTCATTTCATTCCCAAATTGTGCAGAGAAGGGAATCAGGATACTTACCAAGTTCTGAATCAAATCTTCACAGCATGAAAAAAAAAAAAAGGAGGGGGTGTGGTCTTCACAGCATGGCCTCAAATTGTAAGGATATATAGCATGTCCTAGATTGTAAATAAAAATCCCAAAGTACATACAAATAATATTTGTGTTAGCTGTGCTACTATTCAATTCAGTTCTCACAATTACTCTTCCTACGTTATCTTTCATAGCTAATTGGTCATCATTCTGTAGCCTAAATAAGGGTTCCATTACAGTTCTCTTTATAAGTAAAATCACACATATTAATTAAATGAAGCACAGCTTGTATTTTGGAGGGTGAAAGAAGTTTACATTAGGAATACACAAAACCAAATTTAGATTGTATCATTAAATAGTTTTACCTTCATTTAAAATTTAATACAGGGTTTTCCTATATCATTGGAAAAAATCTGTGGTATAATATAAAGCCTCTCAAAAAAAAAAGATTGCAGTTTCTTTTCCCCCCCATCTTTATTGTTGAGAGTATTGCAGACGTTTTCCCCCCTGCCCCCCCGATTTTTCCCCCATTGCCCCCCTCTGCCTGGTTTCCACCCGCCCTAGGGCTTCACCACTCTGTTGTCTGTGTCCATGGGCAATGCATACATGCATATAATAAATTCTTTGGTTAGTCTGTTCCTGCCCACTCCCCCAGACTCCTTACCTCTAAGATTACCTCTGAGATTTGCCAGTTTGTTCCATGTTTTCATGCCTTTGGCTTTATTTTATTCATCAGTTCATTAGATTCCACATATAAGTGAGATTATGTAATATCTTTCTGACTGGCCTATTTCACTTAGACTAATAGTCTCCAGGTCCTTCCATGCTGTCTCAAAGGGTACGAGATCCTTTTTTATCCACTTACCTACTGTTGGGCACTTAGGCTGTTTCCACATATTAGCTATTATAAATTATGCTGCTATGAACCATAGGGGTGCATATATTCTTTTTTGAGATTCTTAAAATATATTCCTAGAAGTTGAGTTTTCCTACATCACAGATAAAAATTTTCAGTATAATTAATATAAAACCCTATCAAATAGCATTCAGTACCTCAAAAAAAAGATGACAGCCTCATAAGTGGTCTTTTCAAAGAATATGTATATTGCTCCCAAAATGACATAGCTGGAATTGTCTTTTTGTTGCATTGAGAGGCCATCTAACCAAATTAAATCTTTAGTTTATATATCTAATCATATATATGTTCTTTTAATTTTTAAAATGCAGGATGAAGACACTGTTTGAAGAGATCAAAGCATCAATTAAAAATAACTATAATCAAGATCGCTCATTTTGGAGGCCTGTTCTTCCTTGGGGAGGTGTTTTTACTATCAAAGCTGGCCGCAAAGCAGTATCCTGTACACCACTCTATGTTGAAATAAGACTGAAAAATACCTGCACCATAGATGGATTCTTGATGTTATTATATGTCATTCTTCATGAAAATGAAAATTTTCCCAGGGAACTCTCTCTTCATTTAGGTAGAGAGTTTGTAGACTGTTTTCTTTATTTAATGGACACCTACAGTTTTACAACTGTGAAGCTACTTTGGATTTGGGACAAGATGGAAAAACAGCAATATAAATCTGAAGTTCATAAAGCTTCATTAATAATTGATTTGTTTGGAAATGAACATGATAATTTTACAAAAAATCTCGAAAATCTCATGTCTACCATACAAGAGAGTTACTGTTCCAATTGGCGATGCCCAATTCGAGTGCAGGAAGATCAGCAGCGTACAATTAATATAAAGTAAGTTTTTCTAAAAGTCTTTATCTGCTCTACAGTTTGTTTTTGTCACTTTTTTAAAAAAAATGATTTTATTTTGTTGTTAATCCTCACTTGAGGATAATTTTCCATTGATCTTTCAGAGAGAGGGGAAGAGAGAGAGGAAGACAGAGAAACATCGATGTGAGAGAAACACATCAATTGGTTGCTTCCCGCCTAGGTCCCAGGCCGGGGAGGAGCCTGCAACCAAAGTTCATGCCCTTGACCAGAATCAAACTTGGGACCCTTTGGTGTTATTATATGTCATTATAAAGAGCAGGCCACTGAGCCAAACCTACCAAGGATATTTTGTCACTTTTAGAAACAGTATACAACTTTTTTAATGAAGTGCTATAAATGTAAATATATAGTCAAAGTACTTCTTAAAGTACAACACTGTAATTACACATAAATCAACCACACAAATTCAAGGTTTTTTAGTCCAATGACAGAAATATCCAAACATTTTAGAATTTACTTTAGAAAACCAACTGATAACCATTTTGCTTGCAAAGTAATGAATTATTCAGAGTGCAAAATATATTGCCCTTGCTCTGAATTACTAATGTGATTTTATAGATAGTAAATTTCTGCATCACAAATGTAACCTCTTGAAGAACATTATCCAATATATGTTTCCAAGATCATTCACTTTTAAATAGATCTTTGCTGAGTGGGCTAGTTCTACATGAACAGGAGGATTGAGCCATGGCCAGTGTGGCTCAGTTGGTTGGTGGCAGATTGATTCCAGGTCAGGGCATATATCCAGGTTGTGGGTCCAATTCCCCATAGGTTCACCTATAGGAGCAACTGATCTCTCCCTCACTCCCTCTCTCCCTCCCTCCCTTTCTTCCTCTAAAATCAATTTAAAAAAAAAGATTGAACATACTCAATGTACTTTGAATAATTATAGACAGAAATCACAAACTTGGAACCTTAACACCTGGAGATGTGGCTGTAAGGAGCATTTTCACTGATTAGGAAAGGTTCTGGTAGCCTATTTTTGGCTTTCAGAACGAAGGCAGACCTCCAGGCTAGTAAATGTCAGGGAGGAAGGCCAAACTGGCAAGCCCTAGTAGAGTGTTAGGAAACATTAACACCCCCAAGGGGCATGAGCTGGAACAGGGATAATTGTCAGTGGAAAAAAACATGACCGAAAAACAAACCCAAACACATTGTTGTCAGAAATTGTATTTGGCCCTATGGTCCAGAAAAACAGCCTAATAGATTGTTCTCTTTGAAGGATGTATCTCACATACAGTTCATATTTCTTTATTGCACATTTACTTTAATATTATACCAGAAGCCCGGTGCACAAAATTTGTGCACTTGAGGGGTGTCCCTCAGTCCAGCCTGCACCCTCTCCAACATGGGATCCTATGGGATCGGGCCTAAATCGGCAGACATCCCTCTCACAATCCTGGACTGCTGGCTCATAACCACCCTTCTGCCTGCCTGCCTGATCCCTAACCACTCCCCTGCCAGCCTGATCAACCCAACTACCCTCCCCTGATGGCCCAATGCCCCCAAATGCCTTCCCCTGCCGGCCCTATCACTCGTAACTGCTCTCCCCTGCCAGCCTGATTGCCCACAACTGTTCTCCCCTGTTGGCCTGATTGCCCACAACTGTTCTCCCCTGCCGGCCATCTTGTGGCCATCCTGTGATGATGTGAGGGCAGCCATCTTGTAGTGGTCTAAGGGCCACCTAGGCTTTTATTAGTATAGATTAGGGGTGTCGAACTCAATCAGAGAAGGGGCCAAAATCTAAAATCCAGCCTAAATCGCGGGCCGAATGGTTTACTGAACAGTTATAAACTGTCATTGTGATGGAAACGCAGCGGAGTGCAGTGATGACAGCGTGGTGCGGGCCACATTGCAAGGCCTGGCGGGACGGATTTGGCCCACGGGCCTTGTGTTTGACACATGTGGTATAGATCATGGAACACTGAAGATACTTTATTCTTTTTAGAGTCAATGTCTCTATTTTTCTGAAAAATGCTTTGTCCATTTTCCTGTATTGCTGATTGATATAAGGATGTTGATTTTCAAATCTTATCTGGCAAGAAAGTTTTATTACTTTAAACCACATTTTAAAGCATTTCAGGAATTTGTCTTTTTTTTAACTAATATTTTAATCTGCATATGTTTTGGAACTATAATGAAATATTTATGGTAGCATATTAATGCTAATATTTTATGTTTCTCAATAAAATATTTTTATCATACTCTACTTTTTCAAGCTTTTGCACATTTTATTTAATCCTATATTTAAAACAACTTTTGAAATATGTAGGAAAAAGTTTTTTAACAAATCAGGTAAGTGAAGCCAACAGTGGCTGCAACTTAGGCTGGCAATTTTAGTAACAAATCAGCTGCTTTCCTGATTCTGGGTCCTAATTTCTCTCTTCTGTTGAATCCTCTGGAAATTTTTTTTAAAATATATTTTATTGATTTTTTACAGAGAGGAAGGGAGAGAGATAGCGAGAAACATCCATGAGAGAATCATCAACCAGCTGCCTCCTGTGGGGATGTGCCTGCAACCAAGGTACATGCCCTTGTCCGAAATCAAACCCAAGACCCCTCAGTCTGCAGGCCGACACTCCATCCACTGCACCAAACCTGTCTCAGCTGGAAATTTTTTTTAAAGTAATAACAACTGCATATTTCAGCATTAGTTTACAGAAAGATTTAATATTTCTTGGCAAGCTTCATGCATTGACATTTATTAAATTTAACTGGTTTCTCTACTATTTACAAGAAGTACAAAGATGAGTAACAGAGGTTATTCTTTTATTGGGTATGTTAATAATGAATTGACCTGTAAATTTTGTAACCCTAATAATGTATTTGCCTGTAAAATGTTGAAGCAGTTCTTACATGCATTTTGCAATTTTTGTAGTCCTCCCCAAGAAATTCCACATGGAAACTTGATACGACTGGCTGTGGATGAGTTATTCTGTTCTAGGATTGAACTGTGTGAAGAGCAGGGGTGAGTATATGATAGACATTTAAGATGAAAGTATTCTGTGTTTTTTATAAAGAAACCTGGACTGATATTTTTTTTATGTTAATACTATATGAAATAGTTACTCATAAGTATTTAGGAAGTCTAACATTTTTAAAATCTTAACACTTCTAGTTTCCTATACTTCTTCTGCATTGTCATTACCAAGTAAAATATAATACTACCAGAGGCCCAGCATACAAAATCATGCACAGGTAGGGTCCCTAGGCCTAGCCTGTAATCAGGGCCATCCCCGCTGCCACCCACCCCGGTTCCCCGTTTACCATCCAGCGATCGGAGCCTGCAGCCTGGGGGGAGAGACCAGGAAGTCTGCCTTCTATCTGCTTGTCAATCTCCAGTTCTGCCCTACCACCACCCACCCCAGTTCCCCGTGGTTTCCTATTGCCATGATCAGAGCCTGTGGGCGGGACCAAGAGGTCAGCCTTTCCTCCCACTCACCAATCCCCGGTCCGGCCCCACTGCCAACACTCACCTGTGGTTCCCCATTCACCATCCGGCGATCAGAGCCTGTGGGATGGGGGGAGGACCAAGAGGTGGTCAGTGCACCTCATGGCAACTGTCAATTGGTCCTTATGCCATTATGATCACTGGCCTTTTGTTATATAGGATAGTTAATTGATGAATACAAAGCAAATGCCTTTTCTTTTTTTCCCCACTGCTGAGTAGGTACAATAAAACCTTGCTTAACCGGAACCCAGATAGTCGGCACCCTCAATTAACTGGATTTTTTCTGCACTCCTCATTTAGGAGAAAGGTAAATTGTAACCACAAAATTTAACACAATAAAATGTTTAAAAAATAGAAATCCAAAGGGGCAGAAAGAATATATTCATCCCAACCTCTTTATTTCTATATCTACATTATTGTACAATGAGAATAAATATTGAGAATTATGATCTTACAGCTAATTAATCACTGAAGAAGGAAAGAATAAAATATTTTCAATTAATTGTACTTAAGTTCAGAGAGTGAACTCATGCATTTTAGCAACCAATACTACAGCAAAATGGTTTTCCTGTTAATTTAGTTTAGTCAGTGATGTTTGTTAACCAAAATATTATACCCTGAACATTCCGGTTAATCGAGATTTTACTGTATAACTGTATTTGTTGTATTCTAATCCATATGCTTAATACCTGATGTTGCTAAGAAAACAGAATTTGCTTCATTCAATAGCAAAAGGAAGCAATTAGAGGATTATATGCAGTCTAAAGAGGCCTGTAATCCTATTTTCCCATCTCTGTCATTATTTCCCTTTGAAACCATCTTAAAGAAAAATGTATCTAAAAATCAAAGCTACTCACTTTTATAAGCCTAGATAAAGCAGCTAGCTTTTCCTTGAATTTTAAAAGTATCAGAACTTGTGAACCTTTGGAAATAGATATACAAAGATGTGCAAAAGTAAATTTACAGTTTGAATGCAAATAAATAATATAATCCTATCTAATAAAAAGGGAATATGCTAATTGACCTTCATACCATCACAAAGTTGGCAGCACCCACAGCCAATAAGGAGGGAATATGCTAATTGAATGGCCATGCCCTCAAAGATGGCAGCACCCACAGCCACAAGATGGCTGTGCCCAGTCTCCTCAGCCGCCCAGGGCTCAGGCAAACCTTGGATGGTGGCTGCCCAGCCGACACCCGAGGTGCAGGCAAGCCTAAGATGTCCAGTCTGAGGTGCAGGCAAGCCTCATGTGACAGCTGCCCAGCCACCCAAGGCTGGCCCGAGGTGCAGGCAAGCCTCGAATATTGACTGCCCAGCCATCCAGGGCCACCCAAGGCTCAGGTAAGCAGGGCCACCTAAGGCTCAGGTAACCAGGGCCAGCCAAGGCTTGCGCTGCTGGCAGTGGCAGCAGCAGAGGTATGATGGGTTGTTGCCTTCCCCTGATCACCGCACCCCAGAGGGCTCCCGGACTATGAGAGGGGTAGGCAGGGCTGAGGGACGCCCCCCCTCTAGTGCATGAATTTTCATGCACCAGGTCTTTAATCTGTATACTAAAAGCCTAAGCAGCCATTACAGTAGAATGACCAGAATGACTGGTCAGTATAATGCACACTGACTGCCAGAGGGCAGATAACACAGGAGCTGCCGCCTGATAGTCAGTGCCCTCAGCCAGAAGCTGGGCTCATGGCTGGTGAGCACAGTGGCAGGTGGTAAGGAGTGAGGGCTCCCAGACTATGAGAGGGCACAGACCGAGCTGAGGGGACCCTACCCCCTCAGGGCATGGATTTCGTGCACCAGAGCTCTAGCACTAAATAATAATAGAAGAATAAACTGTGTTTGTGTACTTACAACTATAAATCTACTTTTGCCTACCTTGTATAAGCTATTAATATGGTTACATTATTATTACCCATTCCAAAATAGGTATTTATGCTTATTATGACATGAAGTAATAAAGACAAGACAAAAGTGATAAAAGGCAGCTTTATTCCAAGTTTAATAAAGTTCATGCGTACTTTCAATTTTAGGTGTGGTGGCTTAAGAGAATTCTCCCAACGAGTTTTCTGCCATGGGGCACCTCCTTTTGTTGTCTTAAATATGCAGCATTGGAAATCTGAAGATCTGGCATATGTACCCTATTATTTGGATTTATCTGATCACAAGTAAGTGGGTTTTTTTTGTTTGTTTTATAAAATTAGTGAAAAATAAATTTATTTTATGTTTTTCTGCTATTCTGGTATGACTTTTTGTAGCCCGAAAGGAAATATTATTTAAATTTGTGAATACTGAATAGGATCAGCATCTACTACAGGAACTTAGTTGCTGACAGGGTGCATATTGGTTAGGTGCTTGAATTATGGAATAGAAAGAATTGGATTCAAACCCAGCCCCGCCATTTATAAGCTATGTGACCATGGACCAGAAAGGTCACAAAGCTTATAAAAACAGTTTACTTGTCAGATTTCTTACCTATAAAGCAGAGATGACAACATCTATCTGGGGTGCCTTACTGTGAGGATTTAATTTACATAGCACACGAAAATGTATGGGATAGTATCTATACACTGAGTGGCCAGATTATTTTGATCTCTGAACACATAAAAATCTGGCCACTCAGTGTATATATATTTATATTAGAAGCCTGGTGCATGAATTCATGCATGGGTGGGGTCCGTTCAGCCTGGCCAGGGGGAGGGGACATGGGCGGTTGGCCTGCCTGCTGGTCAAACTCTTGGTCAAGGGAAAAATTTGCATATTAGCCTTTTACTATATAGGATGTACACTGAGTGGCCAGATTATTATGCATTCAGAGATCATCATAATCTGGCCACTCAGTGTATTCAGTAAACAGTAAATTCTGATTATTAGTGGTATTTCAAGTCAAAGTAGTGTATAGTATGAAGTCATCATTTAAAAATAAAAGGTTACTACTCTCTAGCCGGGAACCTCAGTTGGTTGGAGCATTGTTTAAATGCTCCAAGTTTGCAGGATTCAATACCCAATCAAAGCAACTTTAAATTTTTTTTAAATAAAATGTTACTATCATTATTATAGATAAAAATAACTGCATACATTGCCCTAACTGGTTTGGCCCAGTGAATAGACCATTGGCCTGTGGACTGAAAGGTCCCAGGGTCGATTCCGGTCAGGGGCATGTACATTGGTTGCAGGCACATCCCCGGTAGGGGTGTGCAGGAGGCAGCTGCTCGATGTTTCTCTCTTATCAACGTTTCTAGCTCTCTGTTCCTTCCTCTTTATAAAAAAAAATAAATAAAATATATTTAAAAATAATAAAATAAGTTTAAAAAATAAAAAAATACAAAATAACTGCATACAAATTGGGACATACAGGGTTCCTTTAACTTTTTTCTTTAAAAGTTTTTTGTGTGTTTTCTCTTACTTAGTAGAACCATATAGGTTATGAATTAAGATTTTTTTTTAAATTCTTAAATTACATCAATTTTTTAAATTCCTAAATGTTTTATTCCAAATTTCCTATTATAGTACATCAGTTTTATAGATGGATATCTCAATTTTTTTTCTTAGTTAAGAATTTAAGGAATGTTTCTCTTAAGAACAAAGCATTTCAACTTTCTGCTACACTTTGTCATTGAATTTACAGGTATTTGTTGGAAGGTGCCACATTATTTAACAAAGAGGAACATCATTATTCTGCAGCTTTCCAAATTGATGGACATTGGATGCATTATGATGGCCTCAGAAATGTGAATTTAATTTTGTTAAATAAACCCCCAGAGTTTCTCCTCTTGTCATCATTGGTTTATATTCGAGCAGCAGAGAAATAAATATAGACTGATGCTAAATTTAATTGTTTTCCCTCATGCCCATTGCTCCCTAAGATGAAGGGCTTTTATTTTGTATGTACTTGGTATCCAAGAAAAATAGTTCAACTATATTAGTTTCAGAGGTGTATTTTCCAGTGTATAGTCCCAGGTAAATATTTTATATGAAGAATCTATGCAAAAATGTTTGTATTTCTTTTTTCTATATCATGGGTTATTTTTATACAAGCATATTTTATGTTGAGAGAAAATATATCTTTGTATTTTTTATTTATATTTACCTCAAAGGTTTTTTTACAATTCTGTCTGTGAATCTAAGAAAATATTTGTCATTGAATTATCAAAGTTTTTGTTTATATTCAACTAAAACCTGGGTACACGTCACTGTTTAAGTTTTTATAAATTTCACAGTTCAAGATACATCTGACTTTATTTCTTTGCCCTACCTCATTATAAGCCAAAGTGCACTATAGGATTAGTATGTATTTGAATGTACAAGTTATAGATGGCTTAGTCTATTATACCTGTTGTTTTGCCTAATTTTTAAAATTTTTGGTGAGAATGATTTTTCTGGAATAATTTCCTTACAATGGCAAATTCCTTTAACCACTTGCTAAAGTATTATAAATCTGCCAGTGGATTTTAAATGTTAACTAAGTTCCTGAGAGTAATTGGAGTTACTTTTCAAAATAAATTATATAACTAATCTAAACATTTATTTCATAATTAAATGTAATGGAAATTCTCCAGTAGAAATGTATTTTGCAGATAAGACAACCATAAAAAAAATTAGGCAACTGGATGTTTACTAATGTTGGATTGATAGTAGAAATGTACTTTAAATATATACTTAGGAAAAAAAAATGGGTGCTTGGGAATATTTCTTTTTCTAGTAAGTCATATTGGCACAGGAAAAAAAAACAAATTTTTGTAGTAATATCCACTAGCTCCCTTATAAATAGTAAATTGGGAAGATCAGGCTTTGATTTGCAATAGAAATAACTAGAATTGTATAGATAACAGAATATTGTCTTTCTCTTCAAAGACCCTAAGATCTCTCCTTCTTTTGTGATGTAAAGGAAAAAAATAAGTAATTTTCTTAAGAAAAATTACTTTTTGAAATTAATAATTTTTTTGTGTTTACATTTCATTTCTACCTTAGGCTTTGAGTTGAGATTGAGCGCAACATATTGGAGATTTCTATATGATAACCCAGGTCACTGCCATATACCAAATTGCTAAGTTTTAATTTTGTAAATTAAGTCTTAAATTGGCATAGTGCCATGTAGAGAATTTGCCGAAGAATGGATAAATGTGAGTGAAACTTTGCTGAGAATGCCTCATTTTGAGCAAATACTATGAAAATTCCTTTTTTACATAAGATTAAAAATACTGATTTATTTTACAAAAAAACTTCACCGCAGAGTTTGTTTAAATAGTTCCCCATGTGTATTTAAATAGAATTTGATTTGCAGTAAACTTTTCTGGAGACAGCTTATTGCATGAATCAAAGTATACTGAAACACAAATTCTAACATATTCATAAATGAAATCATTAACAAAATTATTCCTACTGTAGATTTATTTTTTTAGGAATTGCACTTTATTTGGAATGATGTTAGTTTATCACAAAACAGTGACTTACCTACCTCACAGGGTTGTTGTGAGGAATTAGACATTTGTTAAAAACTTGACTACCTTGAACATGCTAATAAACATATTTTTTCTACCTCTTTCATGTACAGGAACGTCTCCCAGATTCTTACTAATGAACTTTTCAGACAAGATGGGGCGCATTCAGGGTGGTATGGCCGTAGACTAATGAACTTTTCAGAACTTTTATTATTTAAACAGTAGCTCCTTGAGTAATGGATTTAATGTATAATGGAATTTAAGTATGTCTTCTGGGCCCCAGATGGCTGGGTTTTTCAGATAATAGGTAGTTTATTTTTATGGTTGATTGATTGGTAGAAATAAAAAATTACTCCCTGGTGATCAAATAGTAGAAAAGGGGTGAAAAAGAATAAATTAGATTATTGGCAGATGTTAAGGTGAGGGCATGGAACATTCTTTATAACCTTAAACACCCTTAGAGAAATTGGGGAGAGGAGGCAAAGATCTGAGGGGATAATCAGAATATATTTTTGATGCCACAAATCGTATACCTATGGGGAAGGTAAAAATGGTTTTTAAACCCTGGCCTCAGAGAGGTATAAAGAATAAATACAGCAAATTTAAGGAGGACTTTCCAATTTCTCTTCATAAAAAGAAACCTTTTCCCTCCCAATTTAACAGATGATCTTATTTAGATGTATTCTTCAAGGTGACTTTTAATTGCTAATTATTAGACTTTATTTAATATCTGAGGCCTTCTCACTCCATCTGATCCTATCAAAGAGGAAAAAGAAACTAAAGATAACTGATTACAGGCAAGCTTTGCATGCTTGCTACGGTAAATTCTATATCTATTACATTTTCAGTTCATGAGCAGCAAACAACTAAGCTATATAAGCCAGATAACTACTATGACATAAACAAAAAGCTGTACTTGTTAAGCATATCAACAGTTTAATTTTATAATTAAATGAATTTATGACAATTATTTGAAAATAATTGTAATACACTATACGAAGAAATAATAAGCAGTTTGCATAAAAATGACTGCAACAAATATTAAACTATAGCCAAAGCAAGCATGTATACTCAAAGAGGCAAAAGTAGGTTTACAGTTGTTTGTATGGGAAATAATACAAGAATAAACTCTGTCTTGCCTACTCACAACTATAAACCTACTTTCCTCACCCCGTATTCTCATCATCCTTTGTTCTCCAACATTTAAAATCAGCATCAAGTGTTTCTGCATTAAAAGCTAAACTCACAAAGCTTTTGACGTGCATCTTAATGATGCCCTACTAATAGGTTCCAACCCACCTAGTGACCCAGGTTCACTAGGGTCACCTGGACAGCCTTTAACTTCCAATTTAAATTTGATTCCAGGGAAAACATAAACTTTTATTCTATCTCTGAGAAATTGAGAAAGAAGTTAGTGGGGAGTCTCTGTAGCAAAATAATTTCTTTATATGCTGATATCTACCTGAGGGGTATATTGGGTTATTTTCCCTCAATGAGCAATCAGTTCTATAGACCTCCATTCTTTCCTCAATGAGGTCTGCTGGAAGCTATCAAGAGGAATTATCTTGAAAATGAAAAAGTGAGCAGCTCTTTGGGGCCTTTAAAAGTGATGGACTGGAACAGGAGCTTGGGAGCAAATGATCTGTGCAGTCAAGTTAGCTATGGTAGAATTAGGAATCTGTTCCGCCCAACCAGCAGCTGAGTGGCTCAGTGGTTGAGTATCAACCTATGAACCAGGAGGTCACAGTTCAATTCCTGGTCATGGCACACGCCAGGGTTGCAGGCTCCATCCCCAGTAGGGGGCGTGCAGGAGGCAGCCAATCAATGATTCTCATCATTGATGTTTCTATTTCCCTCCTTTCCTCTCTGAAAACAAATATATTTTTTTATAAAAAGAAAGAAATCCATCCTAACTGGTTTGGCTCAGTGGATAGAACATTAGCATGGACCAAAAGGTCTCAGGTTCAATTCCAATTAAGGGCACACATCTTGGTTGCAGACTCCTCTCCAGCCCGGGCCTGGTGGGGGCACATTCAGGAAGCAACCAATTGATGTTTCTCTCACATCGATGTTTCTCTCTGTCTTTCTCTCTCTCTTCCACTCTCCCTAAAAATCAATGGAAAAATACCCTCGAGTGAGGATTAACAAAAGTAAATCTGTTCACCACAATGACATATCACCTCACACCTATCAGAAGGTCATCAGTGAATTAACAAACAAGTGCTGGTGAGGATATAGAGACAAGAGAGCCCTCATGCACCTTTGGTGTGAATGCAGATTGGTGCAGCCACTGTGCAAAGCAGTGTGGAGTTTCCTCAAAATATTAAAAATGGAACTGTAGCAAAATAATTTCTTTATATGCTGATATCTACCTGATCACTTTTGACCCAGTGATTCTACTTCTGGGAAATATCCAAAGGAACCCAAAACACTAATATGAAAGAATATATACACTTCTATGTTCATTGCAACATTTTTTACAATAGCCAAGATTTGGAAGCAGCCCTGGCCAGTTAGCTCAATGGTTAGAGTGTCAGCCCCATGCACTGAAGGATCCCAGGTTCAACTCCTGGTCAGAGGCACAGCTCGGTTGCAGGTTCTCCAGCCGGGGTGAGTGTGGGAGGCAACCAATTGATGTCTCTTTCTCATCTAGCTGTTTCTCACTCCCACCTCCTGTATCGCTTCCACTCTAGAAATCAGTGGATAAAAAACCATGGTACACAATGGAATACTACTCAGGTACAAAAATACCTGTACTACTAATAGAGGATTATGCAAATTAACTGGGATGCTGTCATGTAACGGCCAATCAGGATGGAGCTGAGCTGTGGCAGAGAGCTCTCAGCATGCCTGTTATGAGGTCCAAAGGGCATGGAGAGGGAGGGAGAGCAGATAGGCAGTTGGGGGATCAGGCCAGGAGGAGAGAGCAGTTAGGCAGTTAGGGGGATCAAGCTGGCACCGGGGAGCAGTTAGTGTGATCAGGTCAGCAGGGGAGAGCAGTTAGGGCCAGCAGGCCAGCAGGGGAGCAGCTAGGGGCATCAGGCAGTCAGGCAGGAGAGCAGTTAGGAGCCAGTGGTTCCAGATTGTGAGAGGGATCCTGGATTGGAGAGGGTTCAGGCCGGGCTGAAGTACCCCTCTCCCCCACATGAATTTCATGCACCAGGCCTCTAGTAAAATAAAAAAATGATGAGTAGACCTGGTAAGTATTATACTAAGGAAAATAAGCCAATCAGAGAAAGGTAAGTACCAAATTATTTCACTTACGTGGAATCTAATGAACAAAATTAACAAAATAGAAAATGACTAGTAGAGAATAGACTGTCAGAGGAGAGAGAGGTTGGGAGGCTGGGTAAAAAAAGTAAAGAAGTTAAGAAAAAGAAATTCATAGACACAGACAACTGTATGGTAATTACCAGAAAGAAAGGAGGATCAGGGGAGATAGAAGAGAGTATGGGGCTGGGGGGAGGGGAGGGTGTAAGGAGTTGAGGGATTTAAAAAATCTGTTCTTAATTTTATTCCTTGTTTTCTCTTTGAATTCTATAGTGTTATTTTTTTTAATATATTTTTATTGACCTTATGAAGGGAGGTAAGGAGAGTGACAGAGATAGAAACCTCAATGAGAGAGAGGAAACCAAGATGGCGGCCTAACTGCAGCTTCACACAACAATTTCAAAAAATACAACTAAAATATAAAGTGGACATTATCCAGAACTACAGGAAAGTTGACTGACTGGAAATTCTACAACTAGAAGGAAAAAGAAAACAAGAAGAAAAATCAGAGGAGCTGTAAAAGCCTAAGGTACGGAGACACAGGGCACGGGTGGGGAGAGGACGGAGCCAGAGAGGAGGTGCGCCTGAGTGCCTGGTTGGCATTCCCTAGCAGGAAGGAGATAAAAGCTCCAGACTGTGCTGAACCCCAGTTCTGGCTCATTGGGGGAGAGACTAGACTGTCCGGTAGTCGGCAAAACTCAAGGGCGCCTTTCTCTCAGAGGTGCTTGCAGCAAGTACCAAAGGACACTGAGGAACACTGACACTCAGGAACCTCATAGGGTGGGGCTGACAGGAAGCCAAGGCTGTAGGCTCCACCCTGAAACTCCACCCCATCCAAGCTGAGCACAGAGGCTTTTGAATAAGGCTGTTTCCAGGCATAGACACAGCTGATCCTCACAGCCAATTGGCCTGAAGGTCAGTTCCTCCCAGTGATACCAACAATAATTAAGACTTAAATACAAAAGATTGTACACACAGTCCACAAAGGGGTGCACCAAGAGTGTCCACCTCAGATAACTGGGAGGCTGACCCACTGAACCATATAGGACATCTTAACACACAAAGCCACCCTACTAAGAGAAGCAGCGAAAATGCCGAGACAAGAAAACAGATCACAAATGAAAGAAATGGAGGACCAAAAGCTACTGGATATAGAGTTCAAAACCACACTTATAAGGTTTTTCAAGAATTTCCTAGAAAAAAGCCGATAAAATAAATGAGACCTATGAGGATATGAAAAGGGATCAACTAGAAATAAAGAATACATTGTCTGAAATAAAAAATATTATACAGAGTCCTAAAAACAGAATGGAAGATTGCAAGAATCAAGTCAAAGATTTGGAACACAAAGAGCCAGAAGACACTTCACAGAAGCAAGAAGACAGGAGAATCCAGAAAGTTGAAGATAGTGTAAGAAACCTCTGGGACAACTTCAAGCAAACCAACATCAGAATTATGGGGGCCCAGAAAATGAGAGAGAGCAAGATACTGAAAACATATTGAAAGAAATAGTGAAAGAGAACTTCCCCCACTTGGTGAAAGAAATAGACTTAAAAGTCCAGGAAGCACACAGAACCCCAAACAAAAGGAATCCAAAGAGGACCACACCAAGACACATCATAATTAAAATCCCAAGAGCAAAAGACAGAGAGAATATTAAAAGCAGCAAGAGCAAAGAAGGTAGTTACCTATAAAGGAGCACCCATATGATTATCAGCTGATTTCCCAACAGGAACCATGCAGGCCAGATGGGAATGGCAAATATTCAAGGTGATGAATAGTAAGAACCTACAGCCAAAAATACTCTACCCAGCAAAGCTATCACTTAGAATCGAAGGCC